TGCAAAAGGCGGCAAACTTTAAGGATAGCAACCATGGACTACCGTATGGGTTTCTACTCACAAAGGTCTTCGAATTCTTCAAGGTGCCTTTGGGACAGGCCAAAGTGGGCACTAAAAAGCAAACCTTCTCCAAGACCACTTTTGAGGAGTGTGAGTATATTGAAAAGGTTGGAGGAGTTGGAAGCATCTCTATGGTCTCTCAACTGATCAATGCTCAAAATAGTGCCACAGAGGAGATCCGGAAGTTGAAGGCTAGGAACACTATTCTTGAGAGTTAGCTCAGTCAGCTGCAAGAAGCACTTGGTTTCAGTTTTCACAGCTCAAAGGTTGCCTGCCTGACAAAGCAGAATGCTGAGTTCAGCAAACAGGTGGAGGACCTGAAAGAAAGACCGCTCAATGAGCAAATTCCGTGAATGCTCGCATGGATCTTGTCCTCCAAACCCTTGCTTCCTTTTCCAAGCCCTCTTCCTCCATCTTCCCCTAAAGAGTGTCCAGATTCCAGTTTCCATCTTTTAAGTGTGTTTTGGTGATGTTTTGGTTTCTGGTACTTGTTTTTGTTTTATTTTGGAATTGTGGATGGTAACAATGATACTGCTCCCACATGTAAAGGTCCAAACTTGGTTTATGCAAGTATTTCCTTTTTGTTGTTTATGCTGTTGCTCTCTTGTCTCTCTTTCCAATCATGTATTGTGCACACAAATGTCATGAGTTAACCACGCTAGACTTCTTTATGCTACTTACTTGTTCTGTGCTTTTTATGATGCTAAAAGGGGGAAGATTCTACTTACTTGTTTTGCATAATTGAATTAAATAAATTGTATAAATCAAATAAAGATGATGTGCACTGATTAAGGGGGAAATACAGATTCAGGGGGAACTCTTTGAGGCTCCTTGATGTGCACTGATTAAGGGGGAATGCAGATCCAGCTGGAAACTTAAGGTCCTTCTGGTTCGCTGTCTGGTTCAATGTGGCTCTTTATGGGATTTTCAATTATGAGTTTGTCATCATCAAAAAGGGAGGAATTGATTACAAGTATCTTGGTCATAAGTACTTTTTTTATGTTTTGATGATCTAAGAAACTTACTATCAAGAACCATATAGGGAACCTGTTACACATTCTCAAGACATTAAGATTTCAAGGTTCCAGCTTGGGATATGGTTCAACTCTTCAGAGTAGAAGGAATAGCTGAGGGAACAAGTCTCTACCAACTCCCGAGGTGACTGTACAAAGTTAACTCTCCGGCTGGAAAAGTTGTTGCCTGCACACGCTACAGTGCAGGAACAGTACAGCAGTCAACTTTCTGTGGAAGGATTTTTACCTACCTTGCTTACATCATTGTAAGTGATGTTACATATGTATTATTAATATCAAGGAAGGTAAAACTATTACTTGAACACTTAGAGATTTCACTCAAGCTCTCTCGCGCGATCATCCAACAAGCAATTCTCAAGTGCTTCAAGAACAAAGAACAAAACAACTACGGACCAGTTCCCACATCAAGTTATTATATGTCCTTAGTTGAGTTGTAACTTATTTAATTTTCTTACTTGTAACTCCTACTTAGCTTACTAAGAAGCAGTGTGTAGGACACCCTTTGTAAACCTTAAACCTTTGTGTTTGAGTCTTGGTTAGAGTTAGTTGAGTTGTGAAGTCTTTGTAATAGAGGTATTATAAAGTGGCTTGTAATAGGTGTGTTACAAGTTAGTAAGGGATTAAGAGATTAATTCCTAGGTTGTAATTTAAAAGTTGCTCAATAGTGAAGTTGAAATCCTACAAGGGTAGGTCTTGGTTTTTAATCCCGTTGAACTAGGAATTTTTCCTCTTGTCATTTACTTACTGTTGTGTGCGTTTGTTCCAGTGGGACCAATAGAGAACCTACTTCTCTATAGAGTTTGGTGGACCCTTATATTCTATCAATAGTGGCTTGGGACACTTGGGGATGAGACAAAGGAGAGTTTGGTTCATGGTCTCATCCATACAAAAGTCAACTACTGAATTCCTCACAATGCTCCAGTACCTTTGGTAAAAGAATGGGTGCAGCCCATCAAGGCCAGGAGCCTTGAAAGGTTTAAAGGAGAAGATGGCCATTTTGATTTCCCATACTCTAGGGGCATATCCAAGCTGTCTTTTTGACAGTAGTATGGGTCATGTCCAGATGACTGGCAGTGAAAATGGGTGCTTGAGTGTGGGAAAAAGTGCATTATAGAGGCCTTAATGTCCCCTTCGTCATAGGGCCAGTTCCCACTGTCCTCTTTGAGGGATAGGATTCTGTTCCTTCTTATCCTATTGAGGGTGGAGGTCTGGAAAAACCTAGTGTTGGTATCACCTTCAGTTAGCCAACTGACCCTTGATTTGAGTTTCCATAAGTCTTCATCATTCTTGAGGATGGAGCCAAGTTCTCTAGTCAGGTTACTTTCCAGATTCGGCAGGTAATTGCTAAATTGGTAATTGGGATATTTTTGGATCCTAGCAATTCTTGCCAGGATCTTTCTCTTTTTGTGGGAGATATTACCAAAGATATGTCTGTTCCACTGGGTCACAAGGTTTTTTAATGTGTTTGTTGATTGGATTATGGGGAGTTATTGGTGAAGTCTTCATTGATGATACTAGGAAAGGACGGGTGGCTAGTCCACATTGATTCAAACTTGAAGGGCCTGTTAGAGTTATTGATAGTATCCCCTTTTAGCATTATTTGAATAGGGCAGTGGTCTAAGTGGGTCCTAGGAAGATAGTTAACACTAGCCTCAGGGTACTGAGAAATCCAGTAGTCGTTAGCAAAACACCTATCTATCCTTTCTAAGATTAGACTACTCCTATTTTTGTATCTTTTGTTAGTCCAGGTGTACTTACTGCCTTTGTATCCTAAGTCGACTAGCCTGCATTCATTGAGGCAGTTCTAAAAGAGGTTGTTGCGGCTAGAGTTAATGGGGTTACCCCCAAACTTATCACTAGCTTTTAAGACTTCATTGAAGTCTCCACCTGCAAACCAGTTCCTAATATTGGTTTTGGAGATAGTAACAAGACTATCCCATGAAAATTTCCTATCAGCTAATATGGTGCTAGCATAAATTGCTGAAAATAACCAAGGAGTAAAGGATGGGAGTACCTTCACCATGGCATGGATGCCCTGAGGGGTAATGGATACCTCATTAAAAGTGACACAATACTCTTTCCACATCAGAACAATCCCACCTGACAACCGCACTGCCGAAGATTGGATAAGCATACCGAAATGCAGTTCCTCAGTCAGTTTCTTATGGTCAACCATCTTAGTTTTTAACAGAACCAACATTGCTGGTTTGTGGAGCTGTACTATGTCAAGGCAGTGTCTCCTGAACTCTGCGTTGTTCCCACCCCTAACATTTCATATGATGTAATACATCAGGGGTGGTTGGCGGTTTGGGACTGGTTTCTGTGAGCCTTCTCCATCCCCTGAGGAGACCTCACTGATTTCTTTTGATTCATGTTCTCCATGCTCAGTACTGGGGTCAGATTGAGTAGTGGTTTGGTCACACCTTGACTATGGTGAGAGACCAAGCTCAGGCCACACTTGGTCAGGGCCCTGGGACACAGAAGCACAAGCACTAGCTGCTCTCCACACTAGACTCGACTGCTCTGACTGAGTCTAGTAGGAGAGAATCTGTGCTTAGAGGGCCATAGGTTGTTCTCTCCATTTCCAGAGGGCTTTTCCTTTTCAGAAGCTCTAGGGCTTTGTTGATCTCCCTTGTAATGTTGCCTAGTGGTGGCGACTGGTTCTTCTCTACTGGAGCAGAAGGTGATGGAGTTTGATGGGATTGGGGTTCGATAGTCACAAACACTGAAGACGTTGTTGGCTCCTCCGCTCCCGGGTTTGGGAAGAATGGGATTGATTGGAAAGCTTGGAGATGAGGGTGTTGATCATTTGTGGGTCTAGATTGGGTTGCATGTTGCTGTTGCTTGTCATCGCCTGCCACAGGCTTGGGCCAAAGGCTGCCAAGGCCCTGTTTAAGGCCTCCACCGTTACTTTCGCTAGATGCGCAGGGTTTTGAACAATCAGGGTGATTGGTTGATTTCCCAGGGTGAAATTTTAAGCTAAGGGCCTTGGCCTTGAAGTGTCAATTTCAGCCATAATGCCGGTGAGTGGTCCGACAGCAGTGAAAGTAGGGCTGTGCATGGATCGGATCGGATCGAATTTAGCACATTTCAGATCGGATTTCGGATTCTAGAAAATGCAATCCGAATCCGATCCGAATTAATATCGGATCGGATCGGATTTTTAAGTTTGGATCGGATCAGATTTTTGAATTTCGGATCGGATTATTATGTTTCAAAGTTGCAAACTCATATGTATATTTTCTTTGTAAAAGAGGCAATACAGTAAGAAAACTTCATCTTTTTGCAATTATGAGAGTACTATGGTGCCAATATAGCTAAATCCATCAATTGTAAAGGTAATAACTTGGAGGAAAATGTAAAGTAAGTACTAACTATCAGAAATTAAAGTTTAGTATTTATACATGCCCTAATAATTTCGGATTTCGGATCGGATTGGATCGTATTAAAATTATACCAATCCAAATCCGATCTGAAATTTATATAAACACAATCCGAAATCCGATCCAATCCAAAATTCGAAATCCGAAATTGAACGGATCAGTTCGGATTTTGGATATCCGATCCAAGTGAACCGTCTTAAGTGAAAGAGACGTCACAATGGTGGGTGGCTGTTGGGTTTTTTCCATTTTTGTGTTTTTTTTTATTTTCCTCTTTGGGAAAGGGTGGGGGTTATTAAATTCATTTAATAATTACTTTACTTTCTTAAAAAAACTTTTGTTTGTTGTTCTTAATTTATTTCACTAAGGTGGTTACAATTCCTCCAATATTTCCTTTTCCCAGTTCCCTACAGTCCCTAACCACGTAGCTTAACTTCCCAAACCAGCTTCGCGCCTAAAAAATTCACCATTTGCTGCCTCGTTTGGCGGTTCACACGCCCCCCCCCCCCCCCCGCCCCGAAAAAATATAAACTTTTTTTTTTCCTCCTCCATATAATAATCTTACTACAATCAATGTTACAATCTCTCAAATTAGGCCTATACAATTACATTTATCCCAATAGGTATTAATTATATTATCACTTCTGTTTTGTCTTTCAATTATTTTCTTTATTTTTTCCCCTAATGACTGTTACTTTTTTCTCAGTGTTGGACTGATTTTAAGGAAACCCAAGTTTCAAGTTTTGGCTTCTGTGAATTTAACGATAATGGGGTCTAAAAAAAGACCCTTTTCAACTTCATCAGCTATTGCAAAGTCAAATGAACCAATGGGTGTTGCAGCTGAAAAGGGTGTTTCAAAGGTTGAATCTTTTTGACAAATTAATTTTTAGTAGGAAAAATTAGTTTTTTATTTGAATTTTTATTGTTTAATGTAGGAAAATGGTGACAAGGAGATTCTTGTGGAGGATATGGAAACAGTAGAGAAAATGACAGTTCCACAGCTCAGAGTGAAACTTAGGTATGTGCTCAATGTTTCATGTGACGTTGTTTGACTGGCGGAGTGTAGAAAGAAAGAAAGACTGACTTTTGAAACTTGTGGTCTAAAATTAGTCGTAGTTATTTGTATAGAAAAATATGTTCATTTTGGGACGTACTAAAAACAATATTACCAAAGGCGAAAAGCGCACATAACTCTAAGGTCTGTTGGGGCTATAACCGCAAAGCGCAAATAAAGCGTGAGCTTTAATGAAGAAAGGCGCAAATGGAGAAAAACTACAAATATGTATGTATAGTCCAAGACTAATATCTATAAGTAACAACAACAAATCCAGTGTAATCCCATATGTGGAGTCGGGGGAGGGCACTATATACATAGATCTTACCCCTATCCTGAGCAGGTAGAGAGACAAACTAATATCTATAAGTATGAATACCAAATATATGGATAAAGAAATTGAAGAAAATTTACTATAAAATAAAATATCAATTGTTTAGTATCACCTCTTCAGGATTACGCTCGTTGGCAACGAAGTTATGCCTTAGAGCCTTAATGACAACACTGAAGCGCTCACCAAGTGAGGGGAAGCGTTCAAAAACTTTTGAGCCTCACCTTAAGCGTGCCTTTGATAACAATGACTAGAAAGGGAAGTGAATCACATAATTTGGGACAGAAGGAGTATCATGTTTTTGATGATTCATGTTTGTTTTCTGTAGAGAATGGATGAAAGGAATATGGAATTTGACCAAATATTTTCCTATGGTCCATTAAATGCCTGATTTAGTCTCTAATAATCAGAAAAATATTGGTTGTTAGCTTGTTGTTTCAAGCAAATATAATTGGATGCCATCTGCCGTGAGAAGGATGTGTATATGAAAAGATTTTTCTGTATTGCTTCTTGTCATAATTTCCCTTGCTAGATATAGGGAAACTATATGTGTGACAAGGATGTGTATATGAAAAGGTATTTCTAAATTGCTTCTTGTCATAATTTCCCGTGCTAGATATTGGGAAACAATATGTGCAAAAATGATTACCTGACAACCATAACAAGTCTATACTTGCGGAGAAGTTTTTCCTTAAGCAGTGAATACTTAAAATTATCCTGGGATTGAGGCGTAAAAGCTGTTGTAGTGGCATTCAGGCTTGGTGGCCCGAAATTGACTTGGCGTTGCCCTTTGCCAAAAGGCCTCATCTTCAAAAGCTTCGAAGCTTCCAAATTTACTTGTTTTATATTATGGTTATAGAAAATAACTTGGTGGATAAAGCTTCGGTGCTCTCAACCTGGTTTGGATCGTTTGACTACGGCTCCGCGTTCTTTACAATCATAAGCTCGATTGCGAGGGTCCAAATCAGTATTCCTTAAAACATGGGTGTGATGATTCATATATCTTAGCTAACTTGCCTGGGATTGAGGCTTAGTTGTTGTTATTGTTGTTGTTGTAGTGAATGCCTTAAAATTATCCTTAGACGTCTGAAAAAGATGTGCTGCCTTAGTAGAGCTAAAAGAGTCTTGACCCTTGGTTGGAGCCACTAAGCAATTGGCTTGAAGCATTGTACCATACAGCGCTAAGTGATTCCACTGGAACTTGAACTAGTTGGTCTAAAACCTCTGTTCGGATGATATTCCACTTCAGAAATGATTTGTGTCGGAAAAGTTTGCACAATGTGTCACGTTGTATTTTGCAGCAGCTTTCACTTTGATCCAGTGACATGAAAGCCAGTTTTCCGTTTTTTAGGAGTCTTGGGATTCCTTCCAGAGGTACTAAACAAGAGCTTGTTGCTTCTTTGAAGACATTCCTCAACAGCAAACTTGATGGTACTCTTTTCTGTCATTTAATTTGCAACCAAGCCCATAAAATAATTTCTTTAATTTGGAAACTGATGTACGACATTTATCTAGGTGATTGTTATTATTCTGTGAACTTCTCCAAAATCCAAAATATAGCAGAAAGATACTTTAACATACTTATAACCCGTAACTTTCTGCTATAGATGCAGGCAATGGAGCTGTGGCACGGGAGGATCAAGTATCATCTGACAAAAGTGTAGGAGTAGCCGATAACACTTCAAAAAGGAAGGCTAGAAAAGTGTCAAGTAACCAAAGCGATGTTGCTGCATCAGAGGTTTCTAGTACCAGGCAGACGAAAAAATGGGTGAAAAAAGACAACACCAAGGATACCAGTGTTGACATTATTGTTAAACAAGCTGAAATTACCCAGGAGCTCTCCGCTGAATCTAATGACATCAAAGGTGCTTCGGTGTTTATCCTTATGTCTGATTATTTTGCATCTTGCTTTACAGTACATCTTTGCTTTGCTTTGTCAGTGTATTAAATGATGAATAATTTTGATAGGCAAGAAGACTGTACGAGGAAAGAGAAAAGTTTCATCGGCGACTGCTTCGGCACACATTGGAGTTTCTGAGGGCGTGGATATTTCTGTAAATCAAGATGAACCTTGGACTATTTTCGCTCACAAGAAGCCCAAAGATGGGTGGATTGTATACAATCCTAAAACAATGAGGCCACCTCCTCTTTCTAAGGATACAAAACATGTTAAGTTATTGTCATGGAACGTCAATGGTTTGAGGGCTCTATTGAAGTTAAAGAATCTTTTGATACAGCAGCTTGCCGATAGAGAAGATTTTGATGTTCTGTGCTTACAGGAAACTAAACTACAGGTGAGCTCTCATTTTATCTTTTTCTGCTTGTAGGAATCGACTTGATATTATAATAGATATTATCTAATTGCACAGTATATCAGTCGATTATCTAACTCGTCAACCTTACAACGTATTGAGATCCTCGTAAACATAACATGGGATGCAGGTGATGCTTCACTTTATAAATGTATGGTCCTTATTTGCACAACAACAGAAATTGCGTGAAATAGAAGCATTGGTCAATGCTTTTGTAACACCCCGTAAATTTGAATCGGTTGTGGATGCATTAAATGAGTATTAACGTGATGGTAATCAATTGGTTATGATAATAAGTGTACTAGGCATATCATAAGTGATTTGGGGTCCAAGGAGAGACCTAAGTCTAAGCCAAGTTGGAAAATTACATGATAGACTAAATTCCAAATGAGTACGCACAAGACCACATTTTGGACGATCATACCTACAGATATATAAGGTTTTATGTGATGCACAACCTCAAATGAAAGATCTTCGAGTCTAGTTTCTAACGCTTCAAACCATTCGTCATTTGGACATTCCTACAAGAATTTATGATCAAATTACCAAAGGCTGGCGGAGGGGTGTGTGGATGCGAAGCATCCAAGGCCGCGTCCGAAAAGAGGGGCTGGCAGTGAAGTGCTGCCATAGCATCCGGGTCAGCATCCGAGCTCCTGAGAGGAGTGAAGTGGGGATGCGAAGCATCCGAGGCCGTATCCGAAATTTGGGCCTATAAACACAATTTCGGGGTCCATCTTCCCCCATTTCTTTTGGACGACTTTTAGGGTTTTCCTCTACTCTCTCAAGACCTCCAACCCCTCCCATCTTCAAGGTAAGCATCCCCATTATCTTGGTTTGAAATTCCATAATTTCTATACTAATATTGATGAAATCTACACATAAAATACTTAGATCTTCAAGAGATCTCTTCAAGAACTCAAAGGAGGGTTTTGCAAGATTTCTTCCAAAAAGGTAATCCTACACGCTTAGACTAACATGTATGAATTTATTAAGGGAATATGAGTATGAATAAGTATTGGAACTCTTGGTATGGTGATTGGAAGCCTAAGTTCCCTATTTAATTACATAACTATTAAATAACTATTGTAGAGATTGAAAGATGATTAATTGATGGAATTTTGTTGGTTGGGTGTGGATGGATGATCATATATGTGATGTTGGAAGTTATAAATTGGTTAATCATGATGGTGGGATAGATTGATAATTGATAACTGAAATGATAACTATTGAAACTGAAACTGAAATGATAATTGATAACTGAACTGATGATTGGTAACTGAAATGATAACTAATAATTGAATTGAACAAAGGAAGTAAGGATATGAATACTCCCTCTTCTGAATGATGAACAACCTATTTATCTGAATAAGCTACGGCCTCGGGCCCAATATATATGTGCACAAGCTACGGCCTTGAAAGCGGATATGTTTCACTATGTTTTTCCTCTTAATTTTAACTCGATGAAAGGAACTGTGTCTTTTACTAGTTATATGTGTGTGTATGGATACACAAACGCCGTTAGCTTGGAATGCTCGGGGATGGAAATGAGGGAATATCTAAAATACTTGGATTTAATCAGATACAACTTGAAGATTTTGTAGGTTATTTGATAAAGGGTTGAAGGAAGGACTTATAAGAACTTGTCAATATATGTTGATAATGGGGTTTTATCAACCATATCCGCTTTTTGTTCAAATTCTTGGTAATCAGTATTCTCTCACACACGTGCACATACATATTCATGAGTGTATGTGTGTGCGTGCGTGTGTATTCTCAGGTTCCTTAAGTCTACTTGCTTCCTAGTTGATACGATTCTTCAAATATAGGCGCACTGTCTTCTCAGAATCTAGAGACTACAACATAAACTGGACTTCTCTTTTATGATTTTGTTCCTGTTAAACTAAGTTCTACAAACTGTAGTTGTTGGTGTACCTTGAAATATCTGGAATATTACGTGCTAATGTAATAATTAAGAACTGCTTACAAAGCCATCTATGAATTTAGGTCATCAGTGATAGTTTCTGTACACAGTGTGGATTACTATGTGACTAGTAGAGATTTTGTTCCTTCATACAACAAAATCTTTGTGCTGTCTTAGCTAATTTAACTTCTGATTCTTGGAAGCAGGATAAAGATGTTGAAGCGATCAAAGAAAGTCTCAGTGGCTATGAGAATAGCTTTTGGACATGCAGTGTCGCTAAGCTTGGGTATTCTGGTACTGCAATAATCTCTCGGGTATGAACCTTTTGCCCTTCCCTCTTTTTTTCTTCTCTTTTTTTTTTTTAATAATTTTTTTCCCAGTATCCTTGATTTGGAGTAGCAGATTTGCTTCTTTATGTAGGCCCTCTGTCGGGTGCCATACTTTGGTCTCTGGGAAATATTTTTTCTTATAGAGGAGGAAGAAGATTGAGCTTCTTTCCTTGAATTGTTTTTGGTTTATTTCGTATATAACCAACATTATTCTTCTGCATTCCTCTTTTGACAGATCAAACCACTTTCTGTCAGATATGGTCTCGGTATACCTGATCATGATACCGAAGGGCGACTTGTCACGGTGGAATTTGATTACTTCTATTTACTGTGTGGATATGTTCCAAATTCTGGTGATGGACTACGACGATTGGTAGTCCGCGACGTCTTATATATCTTCTTTGCATTCGTTATGTTATGCATTTCCTCTTACGGACATGACTAACAAGATGTATTTTGCCAGACGTACAGAATTACAGAGTGGGATCCTTCTCTTGGCAATTACATGAAAGTAAGTGTTGCTTTCTTTACTGATATCTTATGCACCATGTATTCATTTGTCTACAGGTACATCTTTTTTGAGGTTAAGTTCTTTTAGATTTTCATTTTCGAACAGGCATCTTGAATTTCGTGAATTTAAAATCTTCAAGCCATTTAACCTTCGTTCATTAGATGCAGCCCGGGATACTTCCACTTTTGTCTACAAGTTCTAGTTGTTCTTACTTTGCTGCTATCATTTCAAGTTCGTCCAAATTCTTGGATTTTTCTTTCCCTATTTTTTTTTTGTGTATCTTGTTTATTCTGTTCCAGACATTACTGTATGGGTTTGTTAACCCTTAATCTGCTGAACATTTATAATTCTTCTGTGGCTTTGCAGGAGCTAGAAAAGTCAAAACCTGTTGTTTTGACCGGTGATCTAAATTGCGCCCACGAGGAGATAGATATTTATAATCCTGCTGTAAGTATTTTTACCTTCACGTCTTAACATGTATATAATGCAGAAGCAGTTTATGCTATGTGAATCATAGTGTATGTTCCAGAAAAGTGAAGAAAGAGCAGTCAGTGATAGCGTGTCTTTTTTCTTTATATTTAATTTGTCGTTTTGCAATCTTCCTTTAGTTAAACCTGGTTGTTCTACTTTATGATTTACGCGAAACATTAAGTAGAGTTGCCGTGTTCTCCTTCTCTTTCATATTATGGTAATTTTATTGGTCTCTAGCTGCTTGAGATCCTCTTCCATATCTGTTTTTTAGTTCCTCTTCCAGTGAGTCTTTACATCAATAGCCTCACTACTACTTACTGGTGATACAGATGCGCGCACCTTCTGTAAGGTTGGAAAAATCTGTAAGGTCCAAGTAAGTTTGCATTGGACTTGGGGAGGTATAAGAACACATTGAGCATTATTACTTTTCTAGGGGGACAAATGTTCGCGAAAGATTTCAAGTATTTGCAGTTGTATGCACATAAGCTATGGAAAGTACTAGAATAAGAACAAACCAAATAGACAGCATCAGTAAAGCTACATTGCGCTAAGTGACTCTTGATATATAGTTGTAAGAGAAGATACAAAATAGCATCAATAATGCCCCCCAAAAAAACAAAATGAAAGCTAAAACTAATCAAGCATTAGCAGATTGAAACGATACCACAATTTAAGGTACTACAGTTTAAGATGATTATCTTAGCATCTGGCTTTAAGAATAGCAGTGGAATCAAAATGAAGGAAATCTTATCCAATTACGATATACAGGTCAATATATTCTTTGTAAGCTAATAGGCGTAGGAAGTGTTCGAAATATCTACTGGAGGGAAATAATTGTCTATTTTATGAAGAAAAGATGAAGCATGGAAAAGTAAAAGCACTCAGAACCTCTGATTTGTGATCCAAGATTTAGACTTTTAGCAGGAAATATTCTACAAGCAAGTGGAGAATTGTCACCTTTTGCTTTGTTTGAGTCAAACTGAGTGGTCATTGATTGTACGTTAAATGTATTCTTTCGTGATTTTTATATGCAACTTGTAGTCCTTCTTGGTGTATTTTCTGAATTCCTAAAGAATGAACACTTCTGCTCGAAAGTAGGTTACTTGACCTTAGGCAACCGAAGAGTGAACTAAATTAAAACTAAGGGAGTATCAATTTTGCAAGTATTCCTAGTTGTCATCTTTTGCACTTTAAAAATAAGGACTAAGGAACCTTGATGGAGCAGCTAATTGCAAGTTGTATGGGGCTCTTCTTGCTCCTCTTTTAACTGACATCTAAAAGCGATGCCCTACAAATAGAGACAAACTGCTTGCAACATAGAAGATCAAAACTTGTCAACTGCTTGTCCCTGTGTTCAAATCTATAAGCCTGACCTAGCACCATGGAAACTTATTCGGCTCTCTTCATCTACTAGGAAAGCTCTTGCATTTGTTAAAGAATCACAATAAAATGGTGGAAAATATCATTGCTAATAGCAGAATGATTCGACTTTGCAACTTAAGGCATGATATTTGCTTGTGGGTTTTACATTGTCTTCAGTTGTTAACTTAACTTACCAAAGTTACTTGCTGGTTTAGTTTTGATATCATTCTGATTTTTTCCTTCCTGTGCTTAGGGAAATAAAAGAAGTGCAGGCTTTACTGATGAAGAAAGACAGTCCTTTGAAACAAACTTCTTAAACAAGGGGTTTGTAGATACATTCAGGAAGCAGCATCCTGGTGTCGTTGGTTATACTTACTGGGGTTACCGCCATGGTGGACGTAAAACTAATAAAGGTATTTGAACATTATTCTATTATGGTGATATGTAACTTGGTCCTCTGCTTCCTTGGGCTTTTCCTCTTATGACAAATTAAGAAACCAGAAATATACCTCGGTTTTTGCTCAATATACTCTTTTCCATAGCCCCTAAAATTAGATATTTTTGCGTATCTCATTTTGTGGTTTACTGTCTAGTGAAATGAGAACATTGCTCATTTGATAGCGTGATTGTGAAAGTTATACTCTTTCCCACCTAGGTAAGAGGAGTTTGAACTCCTTACATCAATCTGCAACTTAGAAGAGCGCTTGACTAGGTATTTGGGTCGTCAGTCGTGATAATACTTGTGTTCTCGCTCTTTCCATATTGATCTGCTTAAACTACTCGTCGAACATTCTATTCCTCCAATCTCTCGCTACATGGTGAACTTTAGTATTTGTCACTCCTTGACAAGATAATTCCAACATCACATTTTTGTTCAATATCATTTGCAATTAAGGGTGTTGTTTCAGGTTGTTTTGCATAGGGTTTACTCTGACGTTTTCTGCATATTTTCCCTTCTGGGGTATAAAATTTCAGGATGGAGGCTCGACTACTTCCTTGTCTCAGAACGCATTGCTGACAACGTGCATGACTCGTACATTCTTCCAGATGTAGATGGCAGTGATCACAGTCCCATTGGCCTTATCCTGAAGCTGTAGGTTCCGACCATCGTTTTTGCTGATTCCAACATCTTGATGTTTTTCTGAAGAGGGACCATAACAAAAAACGTGACGAGAATATTCTCAAGAAGCTATGTTGAGTAGATATTTTGCAGTTAAGGATTTGACATATAAATGGTGAATCCTGATTTTTGAAGTGGCATACAAGATCCTGGAGGAAGCACTGAGTAAAAATTTTGGATGACCATATCGTATCATGTAATCCTGTCCAACCCTTTTTTGGTTTAACCATATGGTGCCTGGAATAGGTTGACCCGACTAGTTCAGATTTGCATCGTAGAAAGCCTACTATGTTGGTTTACCGCATCGTGTTTCATCCGGTGCATGGAACCACTGGCCTGAGTAACTTGGATTCGCTCTCTAGAAGCCCACTTTAGGGGATTTAAGGTAAAAATAGCACGGTCTAGCCAGTTTTCGGATTGGTCATTCAAAAATAGCTAGCGTTTACCAAGTCAATGAAAAATAGCCACTATTTTGCTGCAATAGAGATCGGTCCAGCATAATATATACTGGAGTTCGGTGCACCTGTGTATGAACTTCCAGCATATTATGCTGGAACTCCAACACACGGAAAGTTCCAGCATAATATACTAGAGATTCGAGCATTTGTGTATGAACTTCCAGCATATTTAATGGACCGATATACTTTACTGGAACTCTAGTATATTATGATGGAGTTCTAGCGTACTTATGCTGGAACTCCATCATATTATGGTGGAGTTGCAGCATACTTATCTTGGAGTTCTAATATAATCTCCAGCATAATATATTGGCGTATTTTTCGGGTTTTGAATAGTGTTTTCGCTCATATTTATCTTTACATGAAAGTGGTTAAATTTCAATTACTTTTGGAACTGGGCTACTTTTGAACGACCACTTGTAAATCTGGTTATTTTTGAATTTCTTCCGGAATTAAGTGTTCCGTACCAAAGAGGGTTTTATTTCTAGGACTCAAACCCACGGCTTTTGGTTAAGGGCATAGAAACTCTAACCATTCTACCGCATCCATAGTGTACTTAAACCAAAAGTTACAATCATTGGCAGTATTCTGCACAACAAATCAAAGATGGATATTGTCAAAATAGAAGTTGTGTTGAAATAGGAGGAAGCTAGAAGAAGCAGAATGGAACATTAAATTCATATCCAAATATAATTTCCAGCGCTATTTTAGTGCCGACTATACCATTATTACAATTTTACATTGCCTATAAAAGTAAAACTTCGTTGCTTACAAACCCAAAAGCGTGGCTTAGTAATGTGGTCAAATTCTATCTATAAATGAGACTTGTGAATTTTCAATCGTAATATGTAAATACGACTTATAATTCGCATTGGTAATGCGACTTAGAAATCCCAAGCCGAAAACGCGACTTACAAATCGCAATAGATCCACACACCTAGTTGAAAGACTCGTGCTTATTTATAATGGGAAGATTTTTGACAAAGAAATCCCAAGCCGAAAATGCGACTTACAAATCGCAATAGATCCACACACCTAGTGTAATGTTAGAGCTATTGAGCTCAATGAAACAGTGAAGAAGGAAAAGGAAAATAACAAAGAGAAAATCTAAAATTGCATAATCATCGATGACAATTACATGTACTGACTCCCTATTATAACCTGCTCATAAGGAATAATCTTAACTAACCCATTCAATGGGTGACACGTGACAATCTTCTAGAGACTACTATTATTTAGTAGCTAACATATCTAAATATTGGGTTGACTCTCTCTTTATTAATGATGGCCCAACTGACTTCACTTGGTGGCCCAACTATCCCAGGCCCAAGTTGTCTCCTTGTTCGCTACATTCCATCCCCCTTAAGAACCCAATCCTCTGTCTTCTCCCATTTATGGATCAAAATTGGGAAATTGAGATTTCAGAAATGAATAATCTTCCCAGGTGGCTTCTTCAGGCGACAAATTAGTCCATTGTACCAAGACTTGGGTGACTGCACGATTTCCTTTCTTGACCATTCTTCTATCCAAAATGGCAAGTGGCTCCATGCGGATTTGACCCTCTTCAGTACAGAATGGGGGATCTTGAGCTACAAAAGTTTTGTCACCCACCTTCTTCTTTAGCTGAGACACATGGAATATTGGGTGGTTTTTTGAGTTCTGAGGAAGTTTGAGCTCATAAGCAACCTTGCCTATTTTGCGCAAAATTTGATAGGGACCATAAAACTTGGTTGACAACTTCAAATTCTTCCGCACTGCTACTGTGGATTGGCGGTAAGGTTGCAACTTCAGAAATACCCAATCCCCCTCCTCAAAGGTCCTCTCACTTCTTTTGGAATCTGCATAAAGCTTCATTCGATTCTGAGCCTTGGATAGGTTGTCTTGTAGTATGCGATTCAGTAGCTGCCTTTCCTTCAAGGCTTGATCCACTGAGTTAAGCTTGCTCTGGGCAATTAACTCAAAACTGGGTAGGGGTGGATCATAGCCATACAGAGCCTTAAAAGGAGTCATGCCGATGACTGATTGAAAATTGGAGTTGTACCAAAATTCTGCTTGAGATAACCATTTGCTCCACTCTGATGGTTTGTGGCCAGTCATGCAACGGAGATAGGTTTCCAAGCATCTATTGAGTCTCTCCGATTGGCCATCCGTTTGTGGGTGATAAGCCGAGCTTGGTTTCAATTGCACTTGTAGTCCTTTAAATAGTTCCCACCAGAAATTGCTCATGAAAATAGGATCTCTATCCGACACAATTGAGCAGGGAATGCCATGTAGTTTGCATACGTTATCAAGAAACAACTGGGCAAGTTGAGGGGCAGTATAGGGGTGGGTAAGGACGAAGAAATGGGCATACTTAGAGTATCGATCGATGACCACTAAGATTGAGTCTTTGCCATGTGATTTGGGTAAACCACTGATGAAATCCATTGCAATGTGTTCCCATGCTCTTGATGGAATGGGTAGGGGTTGCAACAGGCCGGGGTAAGCCACACTTTCATCCTTGTTCCGTTGGCAAACCTCACAATTTATGACCAATTCTTTGACATCTTGCGCCAACTTAGGCCAATCGAATATAGTTTTAATTCTTTGGTAAGTGGCATTTGCGCCTAAATGGCCTCCCCAAGCCGATGTATGAAACTCAGAAACTAGTTTGTGCCTGAGTTGAGAATTGCTCCCCACCCAAATCCTCCCTTGGTGGTGTAGAATTCCCTGTTGCAATGTGACTTCCAAGTTTCCAGTAGGTTGAATGCTCAATTGTGCAATGATTGCTTAAACTTCTGTATCATTTTCACAGCTTTCAAGCACTTCAACTACCCATCTTGGCTGTACTACTGTAATGCCCAAACATTCTGCTCCTTCATTTTGCTTGGACAAGGCATCAGCAGCCACGTTTTCCACCCCTTTCCGAAAATGAATTTCATAACTAAGGCCAAGCAGCTTAGTTACCCCCTTGTGTTGAAGTGAAGTAGTGATCCTCTGGTCCTTTAGGAATTTCAAGCTAAAATGATCCGTCTTGATGATGAAGTGATTTGGCTGCAAATAGTGATGCCATTTATCCACAGCATGTAGCAATGCTATCAATTCCTTCTCATAAGTTGACAACCCAAGGTGTCTTTGACTTAAGGCTTGGCTGAGATAGGCGATTGGACGCCCATTTTGCATCACAAAACTTGCGGATCCCGATTCCTTTGCCACTAGTGTCCACTTCTACCACAAATGGATAGAGAAGTTTGGTAGTGCCAAAACTGGAGTCGAACCATGGCTTGCTTGAGTTCTTCAAAAGCCTGTGTGGCTTCTAAGGTCCATACGAGTTCCCTTTCTTAAGTAGATCAGACCAAGGGTTTGCTAATAATAGCAAAATTTTTAACTGAACCTACGGTATAACCTGTTAAGCCCAAGAAATCCCCTCAATCTTGATCGATTTTGGTTGGGACCACTTCAACATGGCAGATATTTTACCCTCATCAGTACTTACCCCATGGCCTGAAATTAATGTGGCCCAAATACTCAACTTGGTTGAGCAAATGTGCATTTTTGATCTTTTTTGCAAACAACTGATGACTTGCCAATAGTTCAAAAACCACTTGTAGGTGAGTGACATGGTCAGGAAGGTTGGCACTATAGACTAAGATGTCATCGAAGAAAACCAACACAAACTTCCTTAAGTATGGCCCAAAAATCTTGTGCATCAAGGCTTGAAAAGTTGCCGGAGCGTTGGTGAGTCCAAATGGCATAACTCTGAACTCCCACAGCCCATGGTGTGTCTTGAAGGCCGTCTTAGGTTCATCTCCTTCCTTCATCCGAATTTGGTGGTAACCCGAACGAAGATCCAATTTAGAGAAAAAATGCACTCCACAAAGTTCATCTAACAAGTCCTCTACCACTGGTATTGGATACTTGTTTTTAATTGTGATGTCATTTAATCGTCTATAGTCCACACATAACCTCCAACTAGCATCTTTCTTCTTAACTAGTAGAACTGGTAAAGCATAAGGAGAAACACTGGTTGTCACAGTTTGAGCTTGTAACATTTCTGAGATAATTTCCTCGATGGCATTCTTTTGTTCAAAAGAGTAGCGGTAAGGTCTCAAATTGATAGGTTTAGAGCCTGGCAGCAACTCTATGGCATGGTCACATTCCCGCTTGGGCGGAAGGCCCTTAGGTTCCTGGAATATTAAATCGAAATGGTCCAACAGTTCTTGTATCTGATCCGAAATTTGTTCTTGGTCTTGGGCTGCTTTTGCACTAACCATCATTAACTGGGCCAAATAACTGTACTAACCCTTTTTGACCACACGACCCAAGCTCCGTTCATTAACTGTTGTTACCGGGTCGGATTCTACTTGTCCAAGCAATGTAATTAATTTCTCTTCCTTGTAGAAAGAAATTCCCAATGGTCGAGTGGATAATAAGATTGGTGTAACAGTGTCAATCCAATCCATACCAAGAACAATATCACATCCGCCAACCTTGAGCAGCCTTAAATCAAACACAAATGCTTCATCTTGCATAGTCCAAGTGAATTGATTACTCACTTGAGTACAAGGAACACGCTGGCCATTGGCAACCTTAACCATCATCAGCCTTCGCAGATTAGTTATTGAGGCAGCACAAGCCCTCACTATTTGAGGGTCCACAAAGCTGTGGGTGGACCCACAATCAATGAGAATCAGCAGTTTTTGTTTCTTGGCCCATCCTACCAATTTAATTGTAGATGGGGCTTTGCTGTGGCCCAAGAGAACGTTAATGGACATTTCTGCTTCTTGGGCCTCGTTTTCCCCTTCCATTTCTGTTTCAGGTAGCTTATCATCCGCATCACAAAATTCTTCCCCTTCCATTGC